CCAACCAACCAAAAAAAAGTTTCAAGGAAAAAACAAGCGTGTGGTGCAAACCTGTGCGTTAGGTCCTCGTATTGTGCTCATGTTCCATCTGTTTCGATCCCATGTGTGTCCACCTTGACTTCCACCAGGTGATCTTCCACCAGTAGAACCGTCGCTGAGAGCCGTATCGGTCTACAACAGCAAATTGTTTTATGATGTCGTAATTCAATAACTCACAAGGTCTGTTCCCGTATGAAAAGATTAACAAGTTAATTACAAGTAACGATTTACACAAAATCAAGTGGACAGCACTACGGAAAAAAACTTACACCAGCGCTTCCAATAGAATCCACGATCACGGTCCCTTCACTGCCCTCGCCATGTTTTGTGTTCAGCGATGATGGCCCTTCACCGAAATCCGAGCTGGTTCCTGGCCAACCCGACGCTCTATTTTCTCCGTCACTGGAACATAGAGAATGAGCAACAAAGAAAGAACATTTGGCAAAAGCATAAACCACGTGAGAAAGAAAACAATGAGTGTGACAATACCTCATGTCAGGCAACACAATATCCGGCACTTCTGGGACTGCATCGGGGAATGTGAACTTACGCTCCCCACTTCGTGATGGAGCTGTTGCGAGAGCGTATGGGCTATTTGCATAACCTATCCCTACAAAATTAACACATTTCAGATCGCCAGATTCTGTTTAGCATCACATATTTGACCTATTTTCTCCAGTAATCGTTAACGCATTCTGTTAAAGAGTTTCCGTCATCAAGAACTCTCCTTGCTTTTTCTTTTCTTCTTTAGGGAATTATTTATCAGCCACTGTTTTATAATTGAAAGCAACTATCCATGACACTTTATCGCGGGAACTGTCTTTAAAATCTAGTTCCTCACTCATATAGCATGTACCGCTTTCACCTCTCTACAGGGCGATAGAAAGTGGCCACAGAATCTTGCACCCTTTGCGCACTCTGGCTTAACATCCAAGGCCAATAGCGCAGCTCGTAAGCTCGCGGAAGAGTCAACAAGCTGAGATTCTCTGCGACAAGCAGATGAAATTGTCCTACGAGCTCCATACAACAAAATGCATACATGTAATTCACAAGCAAGACGTTGTCTTGTGGACTGAAAGGAACAAAGTGAGCAAGAGTCACGGGTCTGTGCTCGCTTTATCTCACCCTTTCGAGAGGAGAATGTGGTACACGCTATACAAGTGCAGACCTAAATATTTAATGCACGGAGGTATTTCGCTGATCACTTGATCGAGAGAACTGTCTTTAACCTGATCCTGTACACACCCGACTTCAGGAACTGTATGAATACCAAAGCAATACAATAGGAGCCCTTCTTCCCATGTTTTCGCATGAGTGATGGTGAGGTATAGGGTCTGCAAAGTGCTAAATCACTCACCGAGTGGAAGAGCTGGAGTGCTAGGAGCAGAGCTATTAGTCGATGATGAACTATCACCAATTCCCATTCCTGAATCCGGATACTGGAAAGCCGGCTCATTTAATGAGCGAGACATCGGCACAGCACTTTGGGGATCATTCCAAATGTCCTAAAACAGAGAAGCATCAAATGCTGCTGAACAGAAGTTTACTGGCACCCAAAAGAAGCTCCATCAGACAATAACATGGATGATGTTAAAACTATGAATCTATGGTGACAGGCGGACAAGCCACTGTGCAAGTTCCCACTTTCAGCAAGTATAGTGGTAGTCGCACGGCGGAACGGTTAAGCGCGTTTCACGCCGTCTGAGTTTAGGCCGCGGTATTCCAAACTATTCGCACCACTTATTAGAAGTGCGATCATGTGGTAAAACTATCTATCATCTACGCTTCAACTCGTTTTCCCCACTGGCTGTTCGCATGTTCACCTTCAACAAGGAAGCGCAGAAACGGCTTGAGTGCGTGACGCTCATACTGCGACACGTCCGCAGTGAACTAAAGTGTATCGGTAACCCTGCATAGCTACAAATTCTGCTCAATTTTAGAAAAATAAATAAACTGAACAAAAAGAATACCCCGTTATTCTGCTGAACGAGTTTATCGAAGAGAATTCGAAGGTGTTCAGGGGTGAGACCACAAGAATCTCCAATGCGACTTCGACAATGCGTATGCACTTTCACCTATAGCAATTGATTAATTTATGCAAAATCCGGAAAAATTAGAAAAAAATTAAACTCACTTGCATGACCTGCACTTTTCCCAGGCGTGCAAAAAACCGAAACCAAGTGGTCGTTGACAGAAATGACACACTGTAAGCAGTGTTGTAAAAGCAATTGTTTCACACATCATCTTTCCTCTGTTCGTTCAGCACAGAGACGTTCAAGTCAGATTAGTAGACCAATTACCAAAAGTCTCTCATTTAAGCACAGAAAAAATCATACAGAGCTCTGATTAGTAAATCAGGTTTGATCTC